CAGCTACGTAGAAATTGAAAGCTATCGCAATGTTTTATTTTACAAGTTTTTACTAGTTTCTCAAAGTAGATTATTTCAAGTGCAACAAAAGATAGTACCGTATTATTTGAGAATTGTCCATCAATTAACAAAAAAATAATTTGGATTCGATATAATATCGGTTGCAAAATTCATATTATTAGAATTTCAGTGATTTTATTTTTTTTGCATATATATGTTATGTATAAAAACAAAATGAGTCTTGGGACGACATATAAGGTGACCGATTTGAACGGGACAGTCACGAATTTCCACATTGTGTTTTTCTAAAAAAAAATTTTTCCCGGACTAGAGCTTTTGTGATAAATGATATATTCGATGAGTATATGAAACAATGCATAATGAATGAGAAAATTGCCAAATACAAAATTCCAAATGTGGGTCAAAATAGCCTCTCAGACTAAGAAATTTGAGCTTTCATTAAAAATTCATTTTATAAAAATATAATAACTATCCCTTTGACTTATGCAGGCAGCACAAGTGATAAGCCTTAGATTTCATAATCATATATATTTTCACTTATAAGGAGTTTCCTATCTTGTGTCATAGTTCTAAACACAGCCCAGCTTATATCTCAATAAATTTGAAACCAAACTTAGCGATTGAATGGTTTTCCTTGAATATTGACGCTATAAAATAAATATTGCTGATGATTTATTACTTCATAAAACCCAATAACTGTCACTGTGTTTAAAATTGGCTACCTCATCAAACACAAATACGACAATAATTGCTGATTTTATGCCAGAAAAGGCATATAAATAAAATTTTAACAGCAAACGATTTTACTTGCAGAATAGTAAAATAACAAATGATTATTGCGATATTCCAAGTAATCTTTCGGTACAACGTGATTATTAGAGTCGAATGGTCTGCACAAATCTACATAATCGCTTTGAGTACAATAAAGCCCGAGTACTTTATCATAAGAATCTGAAAACTTTCAAAATGTCATGCGCGACCCATAAAGTGTTAAATTAGAACCAATCAAGTATCATTTATTATAAAGATTTTCTGACAACGCATAATTATGTATAAACACAATTCATTTTGGTAGAAAATTTTAAAATATAGTCAACACAAACGAATACTTTAAATAACAAAACGCTTTCTGCATATAACAATATACATATAGTGATTATCATTTGTTAAAGTTAATTAAATAACAATACAATTACAGCAGAAATAAATCTGAACATAAGCAATATAAGACGTTCTTTACAGAAAATAAATTGATTCTATGATTTACCAATATTCTGTAAAAATTAACTAAATTAAACTTCATATTCGCTTCACATCATAATTTTGAAAATTTATATTGCTGCATATCTATAGTTAGTAATTTATATTTTAGTAATAAATATTTTATGTTATTATCGCTATGCTCTTTTATTTTCGTTTCTATAAAGCAAATATTTTCGTATGAATTGTGTTTTCAGAGCAAAATAATATTTTTCGAAATAGTTGAAATAATATATTATTATCATTACTTCAAATTTTATTTGAAAAACAGCGCAAGAACTATGAAAACAAATGTTTTGCAATTATTGAAGAACATAAATCATGTAACGAAAAAGTTACATGGTTGAATTCCTTAAAGACTCATGACATTCAATTTTTCTAAATGATTATGTAAGCAAAAATAATTAAATTACAAAAATTAAGTGATCCCATAATCTTCCAATGCTTATATAAACTGAAAAAATTTCACCAATCAGCCAAACAATAGATCATTATCTCAATAAATGATATTGATTTCAGACGAATGATTCCAGACAAATGAAATTATTACATTGTCACGTCGTCATATTATATGACCTTTAGCGTGAGATGAGCTTTGTAGGTGCTATCTCCTTCAACTATAAACAGAAAGTAAAACTTTCTAAATTCTCCATCAGTATTCCAAGTATTTACTTCCTTGATAAATTTGACCCTTGAAAATGCGCGTAGTACTAGTATGGGTATTTGCGATTTGTTGTATCGATTTAAGTGCATTGTCATTATTCGTGAGGTCAGATAAATCGCAGACGAGTGAGAATTTGATTTCCTTCTAATGAATATGTCTAGCTATAAAGAATTTAATACATTACCATGTCAATGAAATCATTCATGCGATTCCTGCAAATTCTATTAAATCTGTGGTGTAAATTATGTCGGCCTTTACCAATATAATCAAACTCCTAAAGTGTAAGTTTTAACATTTAAATTGTTTCCGTCGTTATTAAATTATTATTCATATTCCAAAATGGCACTTTACTCGTTTTTTTAATTACTCTTATTATTGAACAACTGAGTAAAAATAATTTTTAAGAAAGTCGTCACGTAGTCGTAAGTAAATATTTGAATGACGAGAGCAATTTATTTTTTCGTTCTTATTTAGTTTTCATTAATATATTTAATATTGAACATTATTTCAATATTATCGATTATATTGTATACAAACTTATGAATATTTATATGACAGGTAACAATATGCTCAGCGGTATTGCTTCAACTTGCGCGATGTGAACCGCCTGTTCCACAAGATTCATATTCTGCGCCACCAGCATCGTCATATGCGCCACAATCATCTTATGGCCCGCCACGACCCCAGTACGGCCCTCCACCACGTCCGAGCTACGGACCACCAAAACCAAGTTATGGTCCACCAAAACCCAGCTATGGACCACCACCAAAACCAGTCTACGGACCACCAAAACCTGTGTATGGACCACCGAAACCAAGTTATGGTCCGCCACCAAAACCAAGCTACGGCCCTCCTCCAAAGCCAGTATATGGACCACCAAAACCTAGTTATGGACCACCACCTAAACCAAGTTATGGCCCACCACCTAAGCCTGTATATGGACCGCCAAAGCCTGTTTACGGACCACCAAAACCAAGTTATGGTCCACCCCCTAAGCCAAGTTATGGTCCACCCCCTAAGCTAAGTTATGGACCTCCACCAAAACCAAGCTATGGACCTCCTCCAAAACCAAGCTATGGACCTCCTCCAAAGCCCAGCTATGGACCTCCTCCAAAGCCCAGCTATGGACCTCCTCCAAAACCCAGCTATGGACCTCCTCCAAAACCCAGCTATGGACCTCCTCCTAAGCCCAGCTATGGGCCTCCACCAAAGCCAAGTTATGGACCACCTCCAAAACCCAGCTATGGTCCGCCTCCAAAACCAAGTTATGGACCACCTCCTAAACCCAGCTATGGTCCACCTCCAAAACCAAGTTATGGACCACCACCTAAGCCAAGCTACGGACCGCCTCCAAAACCAAGCTATGGACCTCCGCCACAAAAACCACACTCAACCTATGGCCCGCCGCCAAGCAACAACTATGGCCCACCGCCGTCTAATAACTATGGTCCCCCGCCGCAGCCTCCGTCGACCAATTATGGTGCACCTGGACCATCAGCTCCATCACCAAACTACGGAGCACCTCCATCCAATAACTATGGTGCACCTCCGCCTTCCAATAATTATGGAGTTCCTGCATCTCAACCGAGTAGCAGTTACAGTGCTCCTTCAGCACCATCCGGTGTTTATGGTTCACCCTCAAACCCCCCACAAGATAGTTATGGTGCACCAGCATCAGGATTACCATCCAGCGACTTTGGCCAATCCGGACATTCGAATTTTGGCTTAACAGCACCACAACAAAATTCTCCGCCATGTTTTAGCTGTGGTGGTCAAGGCGGTGGATTATCCAGTAGTTATAATGCGCCTTCCGGTGGTTTCGGAAGCTTCACGAATAATTTCAATACACCCAGTAGTAATTATGCGGCTCCACCAAAATACACACCACCAAAAACTTCATACGGTGTACCGGTATCCGGCTTAGGATTGTCATCTCTGGGAGGAAACTTCGGCAGCTCCGGCTCATCTGGATTTGGACAAAGTGGACATGGTAGCAACTCGTTCTCCAGTAGCAATTCATTCTCAAGTGGTGATTCTTTCACTGGTTCTAACGGTGGTGGAGGTGGGGGATCATTCTCCAGTGGTGGTTCATTCTCAAGCGGTGGGTCATTCTCAAATGGCGGATCATATCAAGCACCCAGCGATAGTTATGGAGCTCCATCCGATTTCCTAAGCACTTTTGAAAAATCAACAGACTATGCCAATGATTTCCAAGATAATCTATCATTAATATCTCAGGAACAATCTTCATTTATTCATAGCAGCGACTTGCCAGTCCAAGGACTAGGACAAACCAATAATTTTGATTTATTAGGAGGACCATATGCTGAACCACCTTCTTTCAGGCCAGCATTCAAGGATCCATTTTTAGCAGAATCGTCAGATATAAGTGCTGTTGTTACCAAACCAGACACAGTAAAGATAAAAGATGATGTATTAGCAACAATAAAAACTCAATCCAATTATAAAAAAGAAACTAATACATCACTGAAAAATGAAAAATCAAAATTGGATGTACTCTCTTTAAATTATTATGATGATATGCAAGTGTTAGGACAAAAATCAGCCGCAAAAGGAGAACTGGCAAAAACCATAGAAAATACAAAATCTAATTTAAATGAATGGAGAGAATTGCCAAGTAATCATAAGTATGACACAGTGAGTCGATAGTTATTTTTGTTGTTAGAAAAAAACTGTTTAAATAATACTTAAGGTGTCATAATATAATTATAGGATAGATGTAAGGTCATCATACAATCAAAAATATCAATCATAATGTGAACTCATTCAAAAAATATTTTTATATAAACTGCAGTCATTATCCAAAAATTTAAAAAATCATAAACAAATTTGTTATATTCTTTGTATGTATTAGATATTCTTAAATAAATTTTTTATATAGTAACTATGCTTTATTGAAAAAAAAACAATCTATCTCCTAATATGAATAATTCAAATTTAGTAAACAAAGATTTTCTCAAATTATTGGAAATAAATACAGCTTATTATTTATTAATTTATGATTCCTTGAAAAACAAACTACTGACTATCTTACCTTTTTATCAATAAATGACTGCCACTGCTGCGACTGGGAATACATTTGAAAATCATTAAAAAATACTGGCCCTGAGGAAGTTTCCGGCAGATCAGGAATATTGGCATTCAAGGATAGAACTTGTCTAGTTTTATCAAATAATGCTTTCATTACAGGCATCAGAAATGAATATTGTTCAGAGTTTCCAACTGAAATTTATATAATATTTAATATAGATTAAATGGTAGAAAAGTAATTGAAAAAAGAATCATGAACATATTTTTATCTATAATATATATATTACCTTCAATTGCTTTTTGCAGTGTATTATTTAGCTCATAAAGAAGATAGGCAGCTTCTTTCACATCTGTGACCTGCCTTGTGTGCAAAAGTGCATGTAATTTGGCAGAAGCCATTGCAACCAGTTCAGAACAACTCGAGGAAGAACATTTGACTAGAACGCCTAAAGATAATCGCGCCATTTCACCCCAATCTTCACTAGGAGCATCTTGAAAAACCAACAACGCATCTATAAATAAACAATATATATTCCGGTTAACATATGATATTTGTATTTTATTTTTTTATTCATTCATATTTCAATGAATTCTTACTAAGTCGAAAAGTTTCTGCAATTCATAGTGAATACAAGCATTTTAAAAAAATACTCCTCATACAGTGGGGAGTTTGGCATTCAATAAATATTTAAAATTAAAATTAATAGAATATTTAGAATAAAAGTGCATAAAATCTAAATGCATTAATTTAGATGCAAATATATATTTTTTTTATAGCTACAACAAGGCAAATGATCACATTAATAAATTTATTGCAATAACGCCATTAAAGGCAAAATGATGCAATTTTTTCTTGAAATATAAATTATATTTCTAAAAACTTACCAAGAAGTGCAAGAACGCCATCCAGCAATTTCACAGAACATTTTTTGGAATCATCCTCATTTGGATCCAAAACAACCAAATCAAACACCATTCTCATAAGTTGAGCAGCATTTTCCTGATGCATAGGCGTTCCCGCACCTGCTGCACCATCCGTCAGGTCAACTAGAGATGCTTGGACTCCCATCTCTAACAAATGTAACTTTAATTCTAAATGAGAGCAATAAAGTTCATTGTTGAGACCCAAGAGGTTGATACAAGCCATAACTTGACCTCTCTCCTAAATTGTAAATAGTATATAATTAATATAAATCTAACACTCCGTAGTGCATGTATAAAAATACAATACCTTCCAAGAATCTTTTGTTGAACCTTCAACACCACGCCATAATACTGTAAATAAAATATTTGTAACTAAGTAGCATAAGTTTTCTTCTTTATCGAGAGCTTTTTCTTCTCTTAATTGTTGCAATGCCAGGGCTTCATTCCGAGCTACCTGTGAAAAAAATTCTTGAAATTAGATCATTCCCAATCAAAAAATATTATGAGTAATTTTAAATATCGATACATACTTTATCTTTGTTTAAAGTGCTCTGACTAGAAATTGCTGAATTTGTGCTCTCGGCATCCAAATGCTGATTCACAGGAAGTGAAGACAAGTCTTCGGTACTACTGCTAGATGAAGAATTTTGGCTACCCCATATGATTGTATCATCTCCAGTCACTTCAAATCTTGGGGTGAGCTAAATAAATAGTACAAATGTAATAAAATAATATTAATAAGACATACTCTTCCTAAGATTACTATAGAAACTCAAATGAAAATCTAGTAAGTATGAAGAAAATTTTTAATAATTTGTTATATTTTTATATGGTATGTTGTATGCAGACAAATAAAACATTCAGAAATTCGTAATATTAATAATCTAAGAGTTAAGTAAAAGGAGTAGAACTATAGTCCAAATTAAGTATGAATACGAGGTCTGTTCAAAAAGTACCCGGAATTTTCGTTTTTTCAAAAAAATATTTATTTATTCGTCTACATTAATGTGGTCCCCTTCAAAGTAGACCCCCCCAGATTTAATACACTTATGCCAGCGTTTTTTCCAATTTTCGAAGCACCCTTGATATTCACTTTTTGATATGTCCTTGAGCACTCTCAGCGATTTTCTTCAATCGAGGAAAACCGCCGTCCTTTCATGGGTCTCTTCAACTTTGGAAATAGGAAAAAGTCACACGGAGCCATATCTGGTGAATTTTTGCACTTTGCAACACTTTATTTCATTTTTTACGCAAAATTTAATACAAATTCTTTGACTTTTCAATTCTTCCATTGTAAAAATCGCCGAGCTCAGAAAAACACGTCGAACCTTAGCGACTACCACAGACAAAGTAAACAGTGAATATAGCTGAAAATTTCATCATACTTTAGGGGCATGTATACCAACACAATAAAAAAAAAAAATTTGACGATCAGACACTCCAGACCCGCGAAATTTAATTATTAGTAATTCCGGGTACTTTTTGAACACACCTCGTATGATTTATAATTCTATCATAATTTATTTTGTGAAATAATATTCTTACCTCTGATGATTCTAGAGAATCACTATGAGTATCAGTACTTCCTACAAGACTACGCTCTAAAGTATCCTGAAGATTGCTGGTATGTTGTTTGATGGCACTATATACAGATGATATGTTACCTTTTACAGAAGTTAAATTATCTACTACAACCTCTGATACAGATCCAGCAATATCTAAAACAAAAGAAATATTTAATAAAATGTGATAAAACAACTTTAAAATATTTGAAATTAGTTGAATATTTCAATGTCTCAATATAATCATAAAAATATAATATAATCACTCATAAGTTTTTCTATTTTAATTAATAAATTGATGTAAAATACAATAAATTTACTAAAATAGTGTCAGTTTTTTTCACATTTATGTATTACAATATTCATTCATATTCATAAAACTGTAAGTTTAAATTTGCTTTATTAGTTTAATTTTTAATGATGAATCAATAACTATTAAAAACGTAAAATTATGAATATCCTAAAATAATTTACCAATAATTTCTTGCTCTAAGGCAGTTGCAACTTCAGTGACCTGAGCAGTTAAACTAGGAGGTCCATGAACATCTTCTATTTCAGTAAGTTCCATATTTATCTCATCGAAAGCCATCAAATCTGATGCTACTTCAGCAAGTAATGTATTTGGAGGGGCTATTGGAGAACTGATTGGTCGTTTTATTAAAAGTCTCATTATGGAATCTTGCCAGCCAACCTACATGCCAATATCAGTATTAATTATTATATAACGTCTCTTGCAAAATATATTTGAATAATAATTTAAAATCGAATTACCTGTTTAGCTATCAAAAATGGTGCATTCTCATTCATAAATGTGGTTGCCAATAATTTTCTAGCCATTTCTAATTTAATATCAATATCTGCTAGTGATAAAGCATATAATAAAGATAAAGCACCCGCAAAGCTGCATTCATTTTCTATAAATATTAAAAATTAAAATACAATTTAATCATTGTAAAAATATTCATGTATTACATATTAATAAAATTAAAGATTCTAATTACCTATAAGAAGCATTTGATCTAGTAGCATCACGGATACCTCCATAACCAAATGCTCAGATGGCATTAAAGATATTAATCCTGGATACATGCTCACTGAACCGAGAAGTTTTGCATCTTGTAAACGTAAAGACATCTTATGTCTTGAACTCACCCTGTCAGTTCGTAATAGAACATATAGAAACTAAAATTGAGAAAAGTTAGATTAGTACCTATAATAACAGAGAATATTCCAAATTATACTGTATACTAATTGCAAAGCTAACAATTTTTTTTATAATAAATATCATGTTTAGTATAGAAAAATTACATCTTTATAAGTATTTTAAATCAACTTTTAATTATCTATTATTAGGAGTTACAGAGGCAACATGCTACTTTATTTTTGTTTTGTTTCCTATGTGTTTATAATAATTTTTTGTTAAACGTAATGAAGTATTCTTAAACATAAATGTAAAATAAAATTTTAAAGTGCTGAACGCATATTTAAAAATTACCTTTAAAAGTTTCTGCTTGAACTCGACTGAGAATGTTTTATCTTGTAGCAAAGCATATAATAAATCAGCAGCATTAGGTTCATACATTAGTAAATAGATTTGATCTCTGCAGTTCTTAGTTTCCAAATGTGATAATAACATTTCCAACATCTCTATTAACAGACATTCTTCCCTTACAGATGATAAATAATTCAAAATTGCTTTCACCTCCTGAAAATACTCACATTAATACAACAATATAGCAAAATATTCCTTACATTTTTCTTGTGTTTATACAAACCTTAACATTGACTTCTTTAGCAATATAAAATTTAACAATTCCCAGTAATGAAACTCTTATCGTCTTTGCATCATCAGCACTTAAATTCTCATAGCTCACAAAAAACTCTCTGATCACATCCAAAAAGAACTGAATTCCAAACTTCTTCCGAAAATATTTTCTATCTTCTTTAATTATTGTCGAAATATACTGTATGTGCCCAATTCTTATATGAAAAGCACTTCTCGACCATATTTTAAAATTAAACACAACCATTTGATAAAAAGTTTTAAGTAATACTGAATTTTCGTTGGCTTTGCAACTTTCAATTAATAACTGGACGGCCATTAATACATTAACATCTATCAATGATGAATCACATTGTAATAATAATGCTCCAATTATTGGAATACCTTCATTTTGTAGTAATTGTTCTTGATTTAGTGTGTGTGATGCTAATACATTTCGAAAAAACCCTAAAAACATTGCAATTGGAGTCTGATCAAGTTTGTGATCTGAAATAAAAAAGTCAAAATTAAACCATAACATAATTGAGATTTTTTTTTCCCAATAAATGACCAAAAAACACTAATTCAAAATTTTAATCAAAATATTAATTAAAATATTGATTAAAAATATAAAAATATAAAGTTAATTTATTAGATTTTATCAAATGATTAAAAATATGTTTGAATATAAAAACATATCTATTTACCCATACTAGCACTGGACGGAAGTATTTCCCATTCTACCATATCATCAGGAGAATTAGGACTTTGTTTAAGAGTACTACTAGACATATGAGAAATTAAATGCATAATGTTTCTATCTTGATCCTTCACATGGCCAGCAAACTCTAGGAATGGCAATAAACTATGGATGCCCCCAATGCCATTTAAAACATCCTAAAAATTTGGATATATTTTATCTAAATATTCAATCATATAATTTATTATAATTTATTATTTAAAATATGTACACTTACTTGAATGTGTTGGGTATGACATATCTTGGCCACAACATGTCCATTATATTTGTGTGCCGGTGCAAGATCAATGCAAAGATTATCCCAGCAAGCAGTAGGAGAAAAGCAAAATATTAAGCGATTCAAGAGATCAGAACCTTCACTAAGCTCGTCGTTTGCCAGCAGCATACGAAATGACGGTCCTGAAATAGAATCACATCTTTACTATTTTGTGAAAAAAATTATTTTAATCATTTGATTATTAAAACAAAGTTCAAAATTTTCATAATATTGTTAATGCACCGTATAATGAGTGCTGTATTAAAAACAAAATGTAATACCTGCTTCAAAAAGTGTTTTTGCTTGGGACATTGTTACTGGCTCCTGTAATAAACAAGCTAAACCTAATTGTCCCTTCAAACAACAAGGGATTCCCCACACAGAATCTTGCATACCAGAAGGAAAACTTCTCACATGGGGATCTAGTGTAGTTTTTGTTCTAAGTGGCATTGTAAAATAATTTGGTACCTAGACTCAACAATAAAGTATTACAATTTCAAACAACACACTCTAATTCAAATATAATCATATTAGATAGTTGGGTTAAATGAAAAGTAGAGTTTTACATACTTGTGAAATTAGTGATGGCAAAAATGTTTTTTCAATAATATTTGGCACTAATCCTTTTTCAGGAGCATCTGTTTTGGTTGCAGTAGAATTATTTTGCTGCTGATTACCAGAAATTCTTTGCACAACTGAACCAATTGTGCAGTAAGAAAATGGCTGTAAATACGCAAAATATAATCTGACATGAAATCATTTCATATTATAAGTTATTATAAAACATAATATTAACGAATTAAAATAGGAAAGTCGCATAACTCTTGTTCATGTTATATAATAATCATCTTTTGTGATGTGGTAGCTGTAACACTTTTATTACATTCGTTTTATTAAACAAGTAACAATAATAGTATTATTTGTACAATTAACTAATGCTGTAAATTTATAATTTTTTCTTACATTCTTATTAAAAATCAAGAGTATAAAGAGATCACCTATATATTAAATAAAATATAAAAATGACACTGAAATAAATTACATGATACTATTGCAGAAATACAAAAATAGTTTGAAAATAAATCAAAATAAGGGTAAAAATAATAAAACTTAAAAACATGATGTGGTAACATAACGTCGACTGCTTGAAATATTTGAACTTGCTATTTCATATTAAAAAGTATAAGATTAATATCTGACCTCAGCAAATGCAGTGAATTTCATGCTAACTGCCAACTTCTGCGTCCCATCAACATATATCGTGACGTTGTTGTGTGCAAACGGCCGCCTGGGTGGTGCCAAGCACACAGTGACGGAATGCCATTTACCATCAGCTAAACCACCAGGACTGCCAATGGAACTGGCGTTTACCGCGGCGGTTAAAAATTCGCGTCGTAGTGAAATGGCGGTGACTAGAGAACCGTCGCGCTGCACAAAAACTTCCATGCCGGTACCTTGAGGCGTAATCAAACTGAAAATGAGAAAAATAAACAATTAGATAGATGTAGACGCACCCTCATTGTTAATAATTCATTTTTATATTAAAATGTCATAGACCTCTAATATTTTAGTATGTCATAAAGACCAGGAACTCATTTGCCATACAAGATAACATTAATCGCCAAAAAAATCAAAATCAAGAATAAATATATTAAGTCCTTTATTATGAATTTAGTTTAAATAGTTTTAGTTATTCAACTTAAAACAAGTTAGGTATTCATATTTGACTTTTTGGTTTTAAACGGCCCCCCAGATCTTTCGATTTGCTTAACATAAATTGAAAACTGCAAGATCTTATTTCAACTCATATCAATTATTGTAAAAACATACTTGAATAATTGCCTCCGAAAATTTTGCCCATCCAAGTCTGAAAGAGGATCTAATCGAATCCAACAGTGAAAGCTAAAGCCGTAGGAACATCCTGCCCATTTTCTAATTTCTGGTACCCTTAAACCATCTAAAAATACATAATGTAAATTAATAATGCAAGTACTTAATACAATTATGTAAAAATATTTTTTATCTTAAGATTTTATTATTATTTTAGTCAATTCTCAATATAAAATTGTTATACCTGTTTCTCCCTGCATATCAATATAACTCCTGCAGATCAATTTTTGATTACGAAAAATTGTAGCAACTGCTTGTAAAAGATTCTTATAATATGGCAACTCAAGTTCCGGCCGCAAAAGTAAAAATAGCATTTTTAATTCATGTGTTGTAATTGAATGCAATGCTAAACTTTCTAATAACTTTATTAACTCAATCGCTGCATTTATTGATAGTTTATCTGGATGACCAAGGACTTCACACACAGCAACAATAATCTTGCTTTCAGCTGCTAATTGTTTGCTGAAAATAATAAAATCAAGATATAGATATAATATAATAATAAAAATTGAGAATTCCGTAAAACAAGAAATAAATAAGGTAATAAGATTACCTTAATAAGCCTTCGGTGCATATTTTGCATATCTCCTCTGAAATCCAAGGCTGATCATGTTCATCCATATCAATGATCCAAGTGATTAATCTTATAAGAATGTGTGAATTACAAATTGTGTTATCATTTCCATCTCCGGTTATCATTTTTAGTAACTGGCATAATAAAGATCTTGATGGTGTCCCAAGCTCAGCAACATATGACATAAAAATATCATAATAGTCATTTTTGATAAAAATTTCTCTAGCAGATACACATAGGTGTGTAATTCGAGATAAACTACTTATACATTCTGTGGCTAGTAATTGATGATCTATATCCCATTCTAAAATCAACAAAAAATAATTTTAAAGCTAGATCTGTTCTTCCATATTAAATTATAATTTCTAGTAATGTGAAATTAATATATATATACGTATAAATTTACCTTTGTATGTTTCGGCAGTGTTACTAACAAATTCAACAAATTAGCATCTACTAAAGCCTGAGCTATCAGAACATTATTAGCACCATTTGTCATTAACAGTTTTACGGAATTAACAATAGAGCATATGGCAATTGTTTTAACATTATCTTGATTATCCTCAGATATTCACTAGATTTTCTTCAGATTGATCAGACAGAAATTTAACAAACGTCGTGTGAAATAAGCTTAGGATTGTAGCTAGTTCTATCTGCCTCTGGTCTGGAGTAGATCTGTGCAGGACCTGCACCATGGCTACGAAACAGCGCAGGGCAATTGTGCGCACTTCACAATCGACGGTTTTTCGTCCTATTACGTCCATAAGAATGCTGACAGTGGCTGGGCAAATGGCACGTTGACCGTTGTGCTTTTTAATTAAAAGAACATATTAAATAAATATATATATATATATTGAAAAAGCTTTGAATTTATCCAAGTTCTAACACAATTGTTGCAAACTTACACACATTAAGAAAAGAGTTGTTATAAAAACCTAATAAAAAACAATTTGTTAATAAGCTTGAAATATTTTAATTACATGCATCATGATGGAGAAGATTTATTATAAAATCGCTAAGCACAAACGTTTTACTTGCACGATGACTTCAATGTATAAATTCAACAACGAAATATAAGTCAAGGATATTAAACTGAAAATTAAATTCTGGGTTTCTAAGTGAACATAAAACTTAAAGTTTTATAAAGTTTAGAGTAAAAGTTTCATAAAGTTTTTTACATAAAATATTTGTAAGAAATAGAATTCAGAACAAATATAAGTCAAACTCATTTTGTCGATTAAATAAAATAAAATTTCACAGATCAAAAAAAAAAAATTTGCTATCCTTTTTTAACTACATATGTTTTTTCTTGAATATATTCTTTGCAAAAGTACTATTAAAATTATTACTCTTTACTATTAGAAAAAATACATGCAATGTGTGTTAATCATTTTTTTAATAACAATGACTTGGGTAATTATTTAATTAATTTTAACCCAAACAAGCTTTATCAATGCCATGCAAAAAATATTTAATGACCAATTTTTAGTAACAGTTAACTCACCCCTTCACTAAGTCTACGAGCCATACCATCAGAATTCCAATTGTCAATAGGTTTATAATTCAAAATCATCTTCTGAAAAATTATAATTTTTCTAATACTTAAAATCTAATCAATCATTACTGTACACAAT